GGGGAGGGAGGGGAAAAATGAGGACCTAATGCCGGGAGCTTAAGTGGAGAGGAAATGTTTTGAGAACGATGAGGGCAATGAATGTACAAATGCGCCTTATACAATTGTTGTATGTATGGGTTGTGATAAGAGTTATATGAGCCCCTAATAAAATGATTAAAAAAAAGTACACAGGAAACAGGGACATTTTTATAAATGCTATGACAGCATAATTTTGAAATAGAAGCAACCCAAAAATGTACGTGTAGTTACATATATATGCATGCATGTATACGTGTAGGTGTTGTCTCAGACATCAAGTGGATGGATTTAACAAACTAAAATTTATTTTCTCACTAGTTCCAAGGCTAAGGTCTGAAATCGCATGCTGGCAACAGGGGAAAACTTTCCTTCTTTATTGGCTCTGGGAGACGGTCCTTGTCTCTTTTCCCGTCCTATACCATGGGGCCAACATGGTGATCCTCATGTGGCACGGCGTCCATCTCCCCCAGCCTCTACTTGCTCACTTGCCGCCTTCATCGCTTATTTCCTATCTCCAAAGAGATTAAACGTAAGGCACACCCTGCACCAATATTGCCTCAGTAATATGACAAAGAAAGCCCATTCCCAAATGCAATTTTAACCATGGCTCTGTTGCTAGGTGCCATCAAATTGGCCCCAAATGCATAGTGACTCTAGGTACAACAGAACTACATACTGGGCCATCCTCATTACCACGGCTCCATGTGAGCCCATTGGTAGCCACTGTGTCAATCAATCCATCTTAGCGGGGGGCTTTCTCATTTTCCCTGATCAGCTTTACACAGCATACTGCTCTACTCCAGGCTGGAATTCCTTCCAATAATAAGGCAGGCCTGTTTTCCTCATCTTAGTCTGGAAGCCGTGCTGCAACCTGTCCACCAAGGGTGACCCTGCTGTCATTTGAAATACCAGTGACATACCTTTCAGCATCAAAGCGACACACCAGCTACCACCACACAACAAACTGACCAGCCCAGCGATGGAGCCACAGGTTAGTATTTACAACACCTATTTCATGGGAAACACTACGTAATTCCTAACCAATATCATGGACCGTGCACATCATTCAGATGTAACTTTGACTTATCTTTGTATCTTTCTCCAACTCTTTAGTGGGTATGCATCTCTGACAACCTGAGATTGTGGAAGAAAGTCACAGGAATCTTAGAAGCCCTTGTATCAATAGGTGGGTAAGGCATTCATCCAAACTCATCACAGTGTACACCCAAAACAAGTGTATTATATTGAATATAATTTATATTTCCATTAAGGTGATTTTAAATATTGGTATCCCTTCTAGGGTACTCAACATGTACTCGTTGATTGAATTATTGTATTAAGTGGGACTACAGTCATTTTTCCATAACCAAAGCTCTCTCAGGACCTTCAGACTTATACATCCCAACAGGCCTCACCATCAATGTAACTACAACAGAACTCTCAGCCTCATTGATCCCCAGCAAACCTGGCACTCCACCATCTCAAGCATTAGCCTTACCCAGTTGCCAGACTGAGGTTTTAAGAGACACGCTTGATCCTTTCTATCCCTCACCAATCACATACACTCCGTCAGCTAGTCCAGTTGGCTCCACTTTTAGGGGGAATTCCCTGAAACATCGGGCAAGCCAAAGGACCATGTCTCCTAAATGATCACAGTGGTCTCTTACCTCCTGTCCCTATCGCTACGGTTGCTGTCCTTCCGTCTTACGTCCAAGGAGCATTCACAGTAATTTAACAAGAGCATTTAACCAAAGTAGACGCTAATATTCCTCTTTCTTAAAGCGCCCCAATGACTCCCACCACAGGAAATATAAACCTCATAGCTGTTCTCATGGCCTACAAGGTCTCCTGGGGGCTGGCCCCTCCTACCACTATGACCCCATTTCCTACCACTGTCTTGCTAATGCAGTGTGAACCAAGCTTTCCCATACACGCGCCATACTTATTCACACCTCAGGACCACTTCCTGGGCATACGGTGCTCAGACCCTGTGATCTACCTTCTGACACTTTGAATGTCAGATTCAAGTCAGACCCATAAAGGCCTTCCCTGACCTCCCCATCCTACTCAGTTGCTGCCATAGACTCCCATTTTATGTTCTTCGGGGATTTCAATGCTCACGTCTAGCTTCAGCCCCTGTAGCGTGTAATCTATGTGGCAGTGATTGTAATGCATGACTCAAATGGACGCTGCAGGGATTTAACATAACAAACAACATCACTCTTTATTTTTAAAAGAAACAGTGAAACTGGGTGGAACAAATGCATAGAACAATGGCCAAAGGAAGCAGGGACATGACAAGGATGCTTGCTTATGGGTTTCATTGTAGGAACTTCGGGTCACTTCATGAAGCAATCTTTTGGGACCTCAGTCATAGGCTGGAGGGAGAGGAGAGACGACATGGGTATTATCAGAGCCAAACGTTCTGAGTGTCAGTCCCAGGCCATCTGGCTTCCGCTCACATGGCCTGAAAACCGGGCCTCACTATGGAAAGAGCCAAGACCTGTGAGGCTATGGCATCATCCGAGTTGTTGTCACAAAGGGCCCTGGGGTGGAGGAAGGACAATTACATCCACCAGGACGAAAGGGGACACACTGACCCCACAAGGTGACCTAATGCATGCATCAGGACCATGCCTCCGAGTAACGTTGCTGTGACAAAAGCAGCAGAATGAGCACAGTGCCTCGAGAGTGTCAGGGAGGAAACTCCTAGACACCCTGAGTGTGCCCATAAAGGCACAGAGTCCATGCAATCCAGAAAGTCTCTGCACCGGTTGAAAACACCTACGTGGTGCAATATGCATACGGAGTGGGAGAGATGTCCAGAGTGACAATAAGAGAAATAAAGAAACACGACACATGACCTTTGAGTTCCCATCATTCACTCTCTAGCCCCTGCCATCCCCTCCCACTCCCACAATCCCTACTGAGGCCACTGGAAATGCCTACCAGACTGCGTGCAGAGTGCCTGCAGGATTTACTGCTGCTCCTGGGAAGGGGGAACCCCAAAACTGGGCCCCGGGGTGCAGAAGCCACTCTGGGTTTCTTTGGGGCTCACATCAGTCACAGACAGTTGGTCCTTAATGATGCATAAGCTGGAGAAAGAATGGGCCTCAGACAGCTGGACACATGGACAACCCCACACCGCCAACCACGATCCAGCCCACACTCAACCACCACTCTCCTGCCATCCACGACTCTGCCTGTCCCCAGACTCCTTGACTGGTACTCTTTTCCCTCACACAGAACCTGCCTTTGGAGAGCTGTCTGCCTCCTTCACTAGGTTTCTAGGTTTCCCCCACCCCAGGGAGCGTTTCATACCCGCCTTTACTTTTACAACAGCCCAAGGAGGTGCTTATTTTAATCCTAATATTCAAAGATGGACATAGAGTCACAAAGGAGTCACGTAGCTTGACCAAAGTCAGACAGCTGGTTGAAGGCCGGCGTCAGGGGCAGAAGTCACTATGCCACAGCCTAGACTCTTAACCACTAGGCCAGTATGCTCCTGGGGTCTGCCTTTTGACATTATTCAATGATAGGAGAATCCTGAGGAGTCCAGTGTCACCATTCCATCCACTGGCCATAGCCTGGGATGGGTGTTCCCTCTGGGCCCACAAACCCAGCACTAACCTGGAATCGCTGCCAGTCATCAAAATGAACTTCCTGGTGAAGGTGCAGACACTCGCCTCACACATCCCCTCTACTTCAAGGAGAGCAAGGACAAAGCCCATCAGAGTTCCCATGGTTTACACACTCATCAAAGGTCTGGTTTTCTCATGGCTCATGGAAGGGGTGCACACAGGGACAGCTATCCGCAGGGCTTCGGGCAGGGGGTGGGGCTCAGCATTGGGAAGGCCAACAAGAGGGAAAATCTCTTGCTGATGCTAGTGACACTACTCCTTGTCAGATCTCTTCACAAGTGCATTTTGGCTCCTTTTGAACAGAAGCCTGAGACATGGCCATTACTGGCCCATTTTGTCAACGAGGCTAAGAGATGTCTCAAGGCATGGGATGTCCCAAGGTATGGGATGGAGACACGAGCCATAAAAGTCAAATAACTGTGGCACTAACAGCTGGTCTGCGGTGGGATAGGTAGAAACGCAAGTAGGTCAGACAAGGGTGGTTTGGGGGTAAGGTGGGAGCTGAAGGAGGCACAGGAAGGGAAGGGATAAAGGAAGCCTGAAGAGCTCTGAGAGGGAGCAAAGGGGGCGGAGGGGCACGAGACCCTACAGACACTCACCCTCCTTGAAATGCCCATTGACAGAAAAGTAGATTATCTTTTTCTGAAAGAAAAAAAACAGCTCAGAATCCCAATAAACCTCCTACCCGCCTCTGCTCCCTGGGCCGGCCTCAGGGAGGAAGCAGGTGCTCACCCTGTAGACACACGTGTCCATCTGGAAGGAGTTGAGGTCATGCTGGGTTGGGGGCAACACACGGAGAAAGTCAACAATCTCCCCTTTGGTGCATTTCAGCAGCTGAGTCCGCGGAACTGCGCAGGGAGAAGAGAAGGTCAGGGGCTGTATCACTGAACTGACCCCTGTGGTTGACTCCTCCACGCCTCCTGTTAATCTCCCTGCTCACACGTACTGGGGCTTTTGACCTTCTTCATATTCCAACTACCTTTGAAGTACTTGCCCAAGCTGGATCTAGGAGTAAAAGAGGAACGGAAGTTGGAGGACTGGCTAATGTTTTCTGGGAGTCATGGGGCCCAGGCCTGTCACTTGGACAGGGGCACTCACAAAGCTCGAGCCTCCAGGTCGCAGGGAAGGGTCAGGGAGAAGCAGGCATCATCATGGTAAGCGTTCAGGAGACCCTGTCGGTCACCACAATCATACACCCAGCAATACCTGCGGGAATGAAAGAAGACAGGCTCTGTGAGATCTGCACCCCCAACTAGACTTGAAAGCACCCCTCAATGAGCAGGTCTGTGGCTGGATGGCCTGGCCCATCCTACTCCTCCCTGAGGGCCCCACGGGTGCTTACTGTTTGAGGAATTTCAAAGCTAGGTTCTCCAGGGTCCCAGAT